GGTTCTGCCTCCTGTAGCAGCCATTTTGTGGTTTTGCCCACCACTGTCTTCAGGTGCCCACAGGCTGAAAAGGTTGGGAACTCTGCCGTAATTTATGCATTTAACATATATATGGAGCACCCAATGTGATCGGGAACAATGATACCCCCAACTGAATGAAGGGTCTGACACGTTTACATTTCCGTGTGTTCAGGCTCTATATACACGTTCATTGGAGTGGGCACAAGCCAGGGGTGGAGTGTGCTGCCATGTGCATGGGAAGGAGTGGGATAATTTATCCCCGCAGACTGAAAACAGCTGAGGTTTAGCACCATACAGGGGTTATTTCCTGCAGGAGCGCACAGGAGCGGAGCTCCGGTAGTAAAGAGCCCAGGGGGCGGGCACATGCAACAAGCCCCACCCCCTGCTCCCAGCAGCCCTCAGTGAGAGCAAGAAGCAGCCAGGTAAGTTGCAGAGCCCCCCCCCCCACCATAAGCTGGCAATCCAAAACAGTCCAGTGGAGCCTGAGTGGTGGGTGTTGCCTTCTGACACACTTCTGGTGATGTCAGGGGGTGTGGCATATGCAAATGAGGTATGCTAATGAGTTATGCTAATGAGCTCCTGCACCTCTTTCTCTACGAAATCACCCCTGGCACCATGCCATAAAAACCTTCCACCCACTCACTCATGCAAGCTGAAACTCTCTTAGGGAGAGGAACAAAACAGAACACGACGGCCAGCAGGCCACCACAACTGCAAATGAGGACATGACAAGAGTCCTTTGGAAGGACCTCCAGCAGGATTTGTTATTCCGTCGCACAGTCGAGTCCGACTCTTCGCGACCCCACGGACCAGACCACGCCAGGCCTTCCCGTCTTCCGCCGTCCTCTAAAGTTGGCTCAACTTCATGTTCGTTGCATCGATGACACTGTCTAACCCAACTCTTATTTGCTCCTGTCCCTTTAACGCTAGCCTGGCAGAGAGAGCTGAAGGGACCTCCTACCTGCTCTGAAACAATCCCTTGTACTCCCTGCTTTTACTAGGGCACCGGTCACACGGGGCCAGATAATGCGGGGGGGGGGAGGCATGGCTGTTGGCGCCAGAGCAAAATAAAGCACGGTAGCCTGATCACACGGTCCCCTGAGTCTCTGTGCTTCGGCTGTTAGCTGGCGATCACACAGCGATGCTGCAGCGTGGCAAAGAAGCGGCACAGAGCGATCACACCAGCGTTTAGCGTTTGTGCACATGCGCAGTTCCGCGGAGCAGCACCGCTTTCAGTTTCATGTTTGTGCACATGCGCTTACGAAAAACATCCGGTTCGCGACGGGATGTGGACAGGCGCGGATGCCACGGGATACTAGCGCTCCCGCGGACGGACGCCCGCCTGTGCTGCGCGTTTTCCAGATACTAGTGCACTTTCCTTGGTATTTTTTAACTCCGCATCTTCAGCGGGATGCCACGGGTTGGCCATGGGTGTGCTACGCTTCCCAGATGTTGCGGTGTGATCGCACCCCGAAAATCCACCTGACATTCGTACCTTTAGTGCGGCAAATCCTCCGTGTGACTGGGGCCTTTGTTTTTACTGTCCCTTCCTCCTGTGTTTTTCACGATAGCTTGAGTGGTAGAAGCAGATGCTTAATCCCATACCAAGAAAAACTTTATTTGCTGGCTCCTACATATTGACCGGCTGTAAGAGGCACAAGAGTAGGCCGGGTAGTTATTTTCTTGTTGGCAACCCTGCCCCTTACCAAAGCTTAGCAGCCCTCTGCTTCAGGAGCCAGAAAACTTAACTCCCAGGCTGGATGTCTAGCTGTTGCCTAGGTACTTCCCCACATATGCTCCCAATCCAGGCTGATGGGAAACAGATGGAATACAGCCAGCTACACAAGGCGGAAGAAAGCTCAGCATTTGCATGACTCATAAGTCCAAGGTCAGAGGGAGGCCTAGGATGGGGCTGCGCTAGCACAGATGCATAAGTCTGTTGCATGTCAAGCACACATTGAACAAATACATGACAGGTCAATGCTGCTAGTCATTTGCACATCAGATTGCTGCCCCTGTGTAAATGGATGGTGAGAGAGCACATTTGGAGTACTGTGTGCAATTCTGGCCACCACACCTCAGAAAGGATATTATAGCATTAGAAAATGTGCAGAAAAGGGCAACTAGAATGATAAAAGGGTCGGAACACTTTCCCTGTGAAGAAAGGTTAAAGCGCTTGGGGCTCTTTAGCTTGGAGAAAGGACGGCTGACGGCTGACATAATATAAGTTTACAAGGTTATGCATGGGATAGAGCAGGTAGAGAAAGAAGTACTTTCCTCCCTTTCTCACAATACAAGAACTCGTGGGCACTCCATGAAATTGCTGAGAAGTCAGGTTAGAACGGATAAAGGAAGTACTTCTTTACCCAAGGAGAGATTAACACATGGAATTCACTGCCACAGGAGGTGGTGGCAGCTACAAGCATGGATGGCTTCAAGCGGGAATTGGATAAGCATATGGAGCAGAGGTCCATCAGTGGCTATTAGCCACAAGGTATAGATAGGGACTCTCAGGCTGGGGCAAGTGATGCTCTATATTCTTGGTGCTTGGGGGGGCACCAGTGGGAGGGCTTCTAGTGTCCTGGCCCCACTGGTGGACCTCCTGATGGCACCTGGTGTTTCTGGAGATTTAATGGGTGGAGCCTGGAGAGGTTGAGGTTTGAGGAGGGGTGGGACCTCAGACAGTACAATGCCATACACTCCACCCTCCAAACCAGCCATTCCCTCCTGGGGAATCATTGTTGCCAATCTCCAGATGAGGGCTGAAGATTACTCAGAATTACAACTGATCTCCAGGATGGAGGGCGGGCAGAAGTCAGCTGCAGTCAGAGGGGCAGATAATGGTATGTTGAAGGTTAGGTGAGAAGTCTCCACAGCTTAGAGGGAACAATTGAGGGTGCCTAATTGTAGAAATGACTCCACAGAGACCTGTGGGCTGCATTTTCTGGCCCACATTGTGTGACCTTGGACACCAGGTATTGTGTAACATAAGGTATGTGAGACTTTATTTCCACATTTGTGCCTTTCTATTACATACTCCTAATATGTACTTAACCTGCTTCCAGCCTATGCTTTCGTTACACATCACATCTTTCTAGAGTTCATTGTATTGCTTTCACAATGAGCTTTACTGCTAGTTATATATAAAACAATGTTACTGACAGAGAAACCCCAAAACGTTAAAGATTTTTAAATGGCGGGCAGGCCCATAGCTAACGTGGGGCCCACAGGGCCCAGCCCCCTAGTAGTTTTTACGGGGCCCCTCCCTGCTGGGGTCCCTCTCCCCCCACCCCCCATGACCTACTTGTGAGTAAACCTTCCCAGGATTCGGCCACGAGGCCTTCCCAGGAACCAAAGCAGGCTCATGCCAGGTGATCTGAATCGGGGGATTTTAGGATTGCATTGAAACCCGTCTTCCTGTAACGCCTTCCCTATCCATCAAAACCCAGTGCCAGTGAGTCCTCTCCCCGCTGCCCTATCGGAGAGGGCCGTTGCCAGTCTTCCCTCTACGCTCCGTTAGTGTGAGCTAGCTCACAGTTTTTTTAGCCTCCATCTCACACATTTTTGTCTTAGCTCAGGAAGGATGGCTCCAGCGCAAACTAACTGATGCAGCAGCCAAATTGCCGGCTCACAACTTTAATGCAAGGAGCTCACAAAGCAGGATTTTTGCTCTCAAGACTCCACAGCTCAGAGGGAGTGTTGCTTGTTGTTCTTGTGGAAGTTGCTATAGTTATTTGGGCTTGGAGGGTAGGGGGCTTGGGCTCCTTTGGAATACATTACAGCAAAAGAAGAGTTACAAAGAAAACGCAGAATGGATTTTCTGTTAAGGTCTCTGGAATGACAGCTCCCAGAGTGGAATAATAGCCCCTGGGTGTAGTAGATATGTTCTCACACTGGAATGACAGCCCCTGGGAGTAGCAGGAGTATTCTGGCACTGGAATGACAGCCCCTGGGAACAGAATCTGTGTGCTGGGACTGGCCTGACAGGTCCAGTCCCAGCACACAGATTCTGTTCCCAGGGACTATCATTCCATTCTGGGGCCTGTCAATCCAGTCCCAGAATGCTTCTGCTACACCCAGGGGACTATCAGTCCACTCTGTCATTCCTTTTAGTACATCCCTGTTGTTGTTATTTTACTGTTGGGGAGGGTGTCTGTTGGGCAGGCTGGTTCTTGTTTCAGTTCTGGGAATCTCCATCTGGAACTGAAAAGCTAATATGACACTAAGCACTTTTGTTTCTGTAAGAATGGGGGGGTCTATTTCCACTGATTCTCTCTTCCTTATACTTCTGTATATTTATATATATAAAACTGTATCACTCTGACCATTTTTAAGGCACTTGTGTTTATTATTCATTTATTAGTTATTACTTAGAAGCAGTGTTCCCTCTAAGCTGAGTTAGTGTGAGAACCAGCTCACAGTTTTTTAGCCTCTGGCTCACACGTTTTTGCCTTAGCTCGGGAAGGAGGGCTCCAGAGCAAACTAATAACGCAGTAAGTAACAAAATCGCTTGTTCACAACTTTAATGCCAGCAGCTCACAAAGTAGGATTTTTGCTCACAGGACTCCCCAGCTTAGAGGGAGCATTGCTTAGAAGCATCAGCGTGGTGTGGCAGCTCCGGACAGACACATAATGGCCGGCCCCACAAGCAAAACACTGCCCCCCAAGCCGGCCACATGACCACGGAACCGTCTTCGGACAGCGCTGGCTCTTCGGAGATGAGCACCGCAACCCTAGAGTCGGACTCGACTGGCTTTCGAGCAAGGGAAGCTTGACCTTTAGGGGGCTGGAAGGGTGTGTGTGTGTGAAAGCAGAGTGTAAAGGGCTCCGAGAACATGTGCGCCTGGCGGGGCAGGGCTGGTGGTGCGCCCACTCGCGTGCCCCCCGGCGGCATCCCTCGCCTCCCTTTCGATTCCTCCCAAAGACTTCCCTCCGCTCCGCCCATCCCGCCTTTTCTCCCCCCCCCCCTTTCCCCGCCCCAAAGAGAGGACCGCGGCAGAGCAGCCGGGGGGGAAAAGGCGCCGGCGAGACTCCGACTCCGACTGCCCGGCGACGTCCAGCCCCCTCGAGCATGGCGAGCGGTGCCCAGTACCCCTTCCCGGGCCTCGCGCCCCTGCCCCGCTACGAGCCGCTGCGGGAAGAGCAAGGCCGGTCGCCCCTCGAGGCCGCCGCCGCCGCCACCACCACCACCGTGGTCCACCTGGGGCCCCCGCGGGCCTACGCGCCGCCCGCCCGCGACCACATCGTCTGGTCCCTCTGCACCACCCTCTACTGCAACGCCTGCTGCCTCGGGGTCATGGCCCTGGCCTTCTCCGTCAAGGTGAGCCCCCCGCCCGCTCCCGCCGTCCCACTCCCTCGGCGGAGAAGTCCAATGCTCCCTCTAAGCCATGGAGCCCTGGGAGCAAAAATGCTACTTTGTGAGCTGAGCTGTTGGCATGAAAGTTGTGAGCAGGAGATTGGGCTGCTGCATCAGTTAGTTTGCTTTGGAGCCCTCCTTCCTGAGCACAGGCAAAAATGTTTGAGCCGGGGGCTAAAAAACTGTGAGCTAGCTCACACTCACTCAGCTTAGAGCCAGTTTGGTGCAGTGGTTAAGTGCACGGACTCTAATCTGGGAGAACCGGGTTTGATTCCCCACTCCTCCACTTGCACCTGCTGATGTGACCTTGGGTCAGTCACAAGCTCTGGCACAGCTGTCCTTGGAAAAGAGCCGTTTGTGTCAGAGTTCTCTCAACCCCACCCACCTCACAGGGTGTCTGTTGTGGGGAGGGGAAGGGAAAGGAGTTTGTCAGCCACTCTGAGACTCCTTTGGGTAGTGAAGGGTGGGGTATAAATCCAATCTCTTCTTCTTCTTCTTCTTAGAGGGAACACTGCAGTCTGAGAACGTCAACCACGCCTCAGGGCCGGGGGCCCGGCGGGAGGGGAGCGCGAGCCCCTCGAACAGCCTGACCGAGTCGTCTTGACTCACGAGGGAGTCCCAGTAGTCCAAAGGCTTTTCCCCCCAGTGGGTCTTCCTAGGAAGATGCCCTTTGTGTGTGTCGGGCTCATTAGGGCAACTGCCCAGATGCTGGGGGGGGGATGCTCTGCTTCTTCCCCCCCACCCCCGTTCTAGGAGTGAGATGTGGGTTTTGTGAAGGCTTCATTGGTGGAGAGAAGAAATCTCAGAAGAGGAAAATCTCCCGCAAGGAATGTATGGGGTGGCCTTGGAGTCTCTTCCTCCTCTGTCTGTCCTGGTGTAGCCCCCCCCCCCCTGCAGTGAAGTTATGGGGAGTGAGCAACTTCTTTGTTTTACTTGGCAGCAGCCTGGCTGATTAATAAGGAAAACAGTGGTAGGAGTCCCCAACATTTGAGTCAACTGTACTGCTGCCTTTTACTTTGGTGTAGTGGTTAGACTCTAATCTGGGAGAACGGGGCTTGATTCCCCACTCCTCCATTTGCACCTGGCTGGATGACCTTGGGCAAGTCCTAGTTCTGAAAAGAGCAGCCTCTGTCAGAACTCTCTCAGCCCCACCTCCCTCACAGGGTGTCTGTTGTGGGGAGGGGAAGGGAGAGGAGTTTGTGAGCCGCTCTGAGACACCTTTGGGTAGTGAAGGACGGGGTATAAATCCAATCTCTTCTTCTTCCTCTTCTTCCTCCTCTTCTTCTTCTTCTTTGCTAGTGTGGATCCTTGGGAAATTAGAGATTAATGTGTGGCTTTTACTGCACTGGTAGTGTGTATGTTGAGGAGTTAATTGGTTTATCGGGAATTTAGAAGAAGAAGAGATTGGATTTATACCCCATCCTTCACTCGGAATCTCAGAGCAGCTTACAAACTCCTTCCCCTTCCCCTCCCCACAACAGACACACCCTGAGGTAGACAGGGATGAGAGAGCTCTTTCCAGAACTATCCTTGAGATAAGAACTCTGACAGAACTGTGGCTTGCCCAAGGTCATCCAGCAGCTGCAAGTGGAGGAGTGGGAAATCAAACTGGTACTCCTCCACTTGCACCTGCTGGATGACCTTGGGCAAGCCACAGTTCTGTCAGAGTTCTTATCTCAAGGATAGTTCTGGAAAGAGCTCTCTCATCCCTGTCTACCTCAGGGTGTGTCTGTTGTGGGGAGGGGAAGGGGAAGGAGTTTGTAAGCTGCTCTGAGACACCTTTGGGTAGTGGAGGGCTGGAGGGTATAAATCCAATCTCCTTTCAAGATAGATTTTAATGATCTTCACATCTGGTAGTACCACAGAGATCTTAAGAACTGTGGTTTTGGGGTGGTTCTTTGTGTCTGGGTTTTGCTAAAGCACAGGGGAATAGCTTTTCCACAAATACACCTTTGGGGTATTTCCCAGCTTGTCTCCAACAGTTAATCTTTCTCTTTTCTCTCCTATCAGGCACGGGATCGCAAAATGGTCGGTGACCATAATGGTGCCAGCAGCTACGGCTCCACTTCCAGGTGCCTGAATATCACAGCCCTGATGCTGAGTCTCCTGTTCATCACCATAGCCCTGCTGTTTGCTACAGGGGTTATTGCTGCTTGAAACCTACGCGGGAGAATCTACAGTGGCTATTGAACCATGCTGCAGTGTGATTTCCCTTTCAAACCCTTGTCTTCTTTCCGCACAGGCGTCTACTTGGCCAACTCTTGTTTCTGTTTCTTGTTGAGGACCTTGCTTAGAGTCCACAGTGGTTATTCTAAAGAATCTGCATTATCCATAGAAAAGCTTCTGTGTTTTCTAAGAGGGAGGTGTTCATTTCAAGAGCTGGCTTCATGCTGAGAACTGTACCATTATAGAGTTGGATTTTTTAAAAAACACTTCCTGTGGCCTAGTGGCCCTTTCCCCCACCTGAGATACTATTTTTCTATTGAATGTAACCATCCTGTCTCCTTTTTAACTGAATGTAACCCATTCAAGAGGTCCTTCTGTGGCTCAGTAGTGGGTTAATGATGAGATCATTGCACATAAAATTCCTCTGAGAAGACAGATACTTTTTCAGACCCTGCTTCCTGCTGTAAGGAAAGCAGATTTTATGCTTCATATTTTCCTATTTCTCTGTAGTAAAAATAATACCTATTTAGCTCTCCTGAATGAGGAGGTTTGGGCAGTGCTATGCTAATAAATTGTTTTATAAATATATCAGAAAATATGTGTAATATTAGTTTATATTCTTGAACATTAACATGGGAACAAGATTGATTTCAGCTCCAAGGACAATTTACAACATTGTCCTGTGCATTTGCTTTGAAGCTGCCTCCTGAAATTCATGTAATGTTTCTAATTAGAAACTTTCCAAGACACTAATGTGGTCCCCCTATCCCGGGAGCTGCACAGCCATCATTGAACATGGACACACCCTGGATGATGTCTCCCTAGTGAACATATCTACCGAGAGGCAGTATTTATTTATTATTTATTTACTTGGGCTTTTACCCCGCCCTCCCGCCAAAGCGGCTCGGGGCGGCTTACAACAATTTAAAACAACATACAATATAAAACCAGCAAATACAGATATAAAATACAATAAATACAGACTAAAATGCATATGACAAAGCTGACATTTTAAATATTTCTACCTTGCCTTTCAAGCATGCAAGCTTGGAATAACAATTTTTGGCGGTGCACCAGGCATGCAACAGTGGGAGCATAAGCCTCACGTGGGGTCTCATAACTGAGAAGGCTGCCTCACCTCTGATAACTAAGTGGGCACAGCAGGGCCTCAAGAAAGGATCTCAACTGATGGGCAGGGTCACATAGGGATGAACTGCTTTTTAGGTACACTGGTTCAAAGCTAGTTGGAATTCTAAAGGTATTAACAAACAAGTACAATTGTGTAATCCATGAATTACCAGACACAGGAAAGCTCTTCAGTAGAAATGAGCTGCTCTTTAGACTCTGAGTAGTTTATGTAAATGAATTTCTTTACCTCATTCATATAGCCCACCTTTCTTGCTGAGACTCAAGTTGGATTTATTTTATTTTATTTTTTAAATTTTATTTAAGTATTTTTACCCCGCCCTCAGGGCGGCTTACAAGGGGCATAGCCCGAACATAAAACACATAAAATCCAATAAAATCCAATAACATTACAATCAACAATAAACAATAAAGTGCTTCCTTTTATCAGGCGGTCTTAAGTTGTTAAAAATGATAGCATCATTGTCCAGAAAAATGGTCCGAGCCCGTCCGCTGGGCTCATTGCAGCATTCTAATAGTACTACGTTCAAGGGCATTCTCAACTTCGATGTTCTTACCACCGTTGGTGGTAATGGTGGCAGCGGCAGCGGATTACAAAATATAAGAACAATTCAGGCAGCGTAAGACATCAAATAAACAATGTAATAGGACTAGGATCACAGAATTAGAAAACAACAAGTGGGGACCTGTGTGACTCATGGAGGGGGGGAAATCTCATCATCCCTTGCTCACTGGCCCACCTGCTAGTCAGTTTGGTGTAGTGGTCAAGTGTGCGTACTCTAATCCGGGAGAACCGGGTTTGATTCCCCACTCCTCCACTTGCACCTGCTGATGTGACCTCGGATCAGTCACAAGCTCTGGCACAGCTATTCCTGAAAGAGCAGTTTGTGTCAGAGTTCTCTCGGCCCCACCCACCTCACAAGGTGCCTGTTGTGGGGAGGGGAAGGGAAAGGAGTTTGTAAGCCGCTCTGAGACGCCAAGTGAAGGGCGGGGTATACATCCAATCTCTTCTCCCCACTCCTCCCCTGCCCACTTGAGTCACCCACCCACTCACCATCTCTTAAGTGTGTGTGTGTGGGGGGGGGGCATTGGCCAGCCTGTATTGCTGCCCTTCTGTGGCTTATACAGTGGGGGCAGCCCCATCCCAAGCATCTGCCTGCTTGTCTGTACTCCCTCCTGCTGCTTGGTGGTGAGGGAGCGGTAAGAACATAAGAAAAGCCCTGCTGGATCAGACCAGTGAAGGTCCCTCTGGTCCAGCATCCTGTCTCACACAGAGGCCAACCAGTTCCTCTGGAGGGCCTAACAACAGGGCAGAGAGGCTGAGGCCTTCCCCTGATGTTGCCGCCTGGCTCTGGGATACAGAGTAGCTCTATATGTGGAGGTTCCCCTCAGTCACCATGGCTAGTAGCCACTGACAGACCGATCCTCCATAAATCTAATCCTCATTAAAAGCTGTTTATTCCTGTGGCCATCACTACACCTTCTGGCAGCAAATTCTGTATTTTAGTCACTCTGTAAAGTAGTATTTCCTTTTGTCCATCCTGAATCTATTGCCCATCAGTTTCACTGGATCCCCTCAGGTGCTAGTATTTTGGGAGAGGGAGAAAAATTTCTATCTGGCAACTCTCTCCACCCCATGCATAACTTTATAAACCTCTATCATGTACCACCTCAGTCATCTCTTGTCTAAATGGGAAAGTCCCAGACTCTTCAGCCTTTCTTCATAGAGAAGGTGCTCCAGTCCAAACCCGTCATCATCTTGGTTGACGTCCTCCTCTGCATTTTTCTAGTTTTGTAATGTCGTTTCTAAGATACAGTGACCAGAACTATCCAAATGAGACCGCACCATATATCTATACATGGGCATTACAATACCAGCCGTTTTATTTTCAATCCCTTTCCTAATCATCCCAAACATAGAGTTTGCCTTTTTCACTGCTGCAGCACACGGGTTGACACTTACATTGAGCTATCCACTATGACCCCAAGATCTTTTTTCCTCTGAGTCTCAGCAAGTTCAGAGCCAATCTATATATAAAAAAGAAAGTCCCCTCACCGTAAAATCAACGCCCAGCCAAACCCCTGGACCTAGAAACACGAAATTCGGGGAGAGCGCTCCTACCATGGTGTAGATGCTCACTAAGAAGGGATTTTTAGAAATTCAACCCCTTAAAGGGGTCAAAAGGGGTCGTGAAGAGTTGGACTTGATTGTGGGACTGAACAACAAATTGCTTCCTATGTGGCTGCCAGGCTGCTGCCTCCCTGCACCCCCAACCCTCTGATTGGTCAGCTGCAGAGCTCAGTGTTCTGAGGTAAAAAAAACAGTTACAGGAGACTGCAGAGAGCTAATGACAGTTGAGGAAATCAGGAACGGCCAACCACCTGTGAGGTGCAGTAATGCTGCTGGCCCAGCCTCTTCAATGGCTTCAAACATCCCCACACACACACCTCTTACACCTGACAGGTGCAGCAGCAGTTGCAGGGTATTTAAAGCCACCAGGGAACCCATCCCAGCAGTAATGCCTTAGTGATCCTGCCAGCCCTGCCTCCACAGTGGTTTCTAATACTCCTCCCCCCTGTCAGGTGTAGCAGAGGAGGTGGGATGCTTACAGCCATCGGGGAGGTTTGCTCAGCAGGATTGCCATAGTGCTGTTGCTGGCCCAGCCTCCCCGATGCCTTTAAACACAGCCCCCCCCCCAACACCAGACAGGCGGGTGTCTATCAGGTGTAGGAGCAGGGCCAGGGTACTTTAATCCATCAGGAAGGCTGCCCCAGCAGGATCACCTTAGCGATGTTGCTGGCCCAGCCTCTCCAATGGCTTTAGCCACACTCCCATCCACTATGGAAATATACCCCAAATTTGTAGAAAAGTGGTTTCCTGTATTCAGTTATTTAATTCTCACAGTGTGGGTTCTAGAAAATTCATATGAACTTGCTTAATATCTGCTCAGATGTTGTTTTGAATGCATAGTTATGTTCCACTTCTTAAATGTAACATAAATGAGAGGCAATTTTGTAAATATATAAAAAATGTAACATAAATAAGAAGCATTCTTGTAAAAAAAAAAGTATGCCCTGCACCCCCCTGCAAATCCACAGGCCAAACCCCAGAAATGGCGTACAGATCTATGGACTCAGTGGTGCAAAGGATGACATGGTCCACTACCCTGTAGAGTTCCTCAACACCCTCAACCCTCCTGGCTTCCCAGGCCACAAGCTTCTCCTCAAAGCAGGGGCTCCAGTGATGCTGCTGCGGAACTTCAAGCCACCCAAACTCTGCAACAGCACCAGACTGCAAGTGAAGGCCCTGCACAGGAACATCATCGAGGCCACACTGCTCACCAGCAGTGCTCGGGGACAGTCGGTGCTCAGACCTTGCATACCACTCATACCATCAGCAAAACCCCTTTGAGTTCAAGAGGCTGCAGTTCTCCCCTAAGGTCTGCTTTGCTATGACCATCAACAAGTCCCAAGGCCAGACACTGAAGGTGGCAGGAATTGACTTAATAGACGACTACTTCTTAAATGGACAGTTCTATGTGGCCTGCTCCAGAGTGAGCTCACCAAGTAGCCAATGTGGTTTATAGACAGGTCCATCAGTAGAGAGAAAAAGGTATGTATGTGTTGGATCCCCAAGCATCGAGAATAAATCCACGTTTCAAAGAAAGCAAAGTTTATTTCAAAGCATTGGAAAGATACTCAAACACGTTCTTTGTTAGAACTGGGGACCAACAGTTAGGGCAGACATGATAAAGGGATTCAAGTTAGATACAGAACCAATGGATAACGTTCCCGCCGGCGGGCAGGAGAAAACGGTTCCTTGCACAGATCTTGGGAACCAGGCAAACAGTAGACACAACACAGGTGCAGTTCTCAGGCTCGAGAAATAACAAGCTGGCAGCGAAGCATATTCTCCCCCTCACATCCTCCAGTTGTTTTACTTTGGCATTACAGCAGGCAAACACATAGGTCAGCTGGCAGGGACAGGGATCACATATGTACAACCAGAAGTCACACAGAACACCATGGCAGCTTGCTGACATACTGCCCCCTCAAAAACACACTTTAACCACCACCTCCCGGGTTGGGCGGGAGACCTCCCGGGCTGGGCGGGAGACCTCCCGGTTTGTCCGGGAACTTCCTGTGGAAACAACGAAGCAGGTAAGGGGCCCGAATATCCCCTTCTTCCACCCATTCGCGGTGCTGGGGACCGAAATCAACCCATTCAATGAGGTACCAGAGTTTACCACGTTTCAGCTTGGAATCAAGGATATCAGCGATTTCAAAATGCTCATCCCCCTCAAGGATGATCGGAGGCGGCGGAGAAACAGTTGGCCTCCATGGAGAGGTGCCAGGATCCTTCTTCAGCAAACTCATGTGAAATACAGAATGCAGAGAACGCAAATTTTTAGGCAATACAACATCAACAGCAACATCATTAATCA